GATCTATTTCTTTGTGACATCTAATAAAGTTAATTCCTGTATATGAAGAATCAAGATCATTTTTGGCTTCTTTAATCATAGCGTGCCATTTATATAAAGGAAATTGTTTCACAATTTCCGTAGTTAATTTCCATGGTAGTGGAGACTGCTCCATGAATTCTACTGCTGATGATGTTATTGATTCGCAAATTTTTCTAACAGCTAACTCTGATAATGTTGGGGCATTCATCTATAACAAAAAAAAACGCTATTATAAGATACTGTAATGCCCCCACGGAAGTGTGTCAAAACTGTTCGGAATTAAATAACGTTTGTCGTCATACGGACTTAAACTAATTTTTGACTGTTCAACAGAATATACGTTGTGTGCATACGACCTGATACAGCGTTGTGTAGCTGTTTTTTCCTTAAATTCTTTCAAACATTCAACATAATCCTCAAATGCAATTTTATTTTTAACAACATTGTACTTAACCCCTTTAGATTTTTTAACCACCTTCCCACCCTGCACCCTGTAACTATACATTTTGCTTCGAAGTCCAACAAAATGTGTCATAATTTTACCGTTATTTTCATCTTTCATTAGACCCGGTACCTTTTTGTTCTTACGCAGTATTTTATATATGTTATTTTCAAGATAATCCGAAGTATCAAATTTACTGGAATCAGCCTTAATGATCTCCTCATATGCATCCTCACATTGCAATTCGTAGATAAAACTGTCTGTGTCTATGTACATGAGCTTACACCTTTCTGCACCCATTTTTGGTAGCATATAGGTGTAATGAAAATCATACATGACTAGTTTCGATAGGTCTAGAATTGCCTGCCCTACATACAGAGGTTTGTTAAGCGTTATTTCAGCCTTGTTCAATTCGATAACCACCAGATTTTCCTCTAAAATTGTGCGACTGTGGAACCGAAAACTCGAAATCAAGTTTGCTGCCCCATAGCGACCACCCCAAGATTTAACGATTTTACATACGCGGTGCTTACGTATATTTTCCATGGTCTTACCGAATACTGCATTATTCATTAATTTAAAAAGATTTTTTTCGAAATCATTCCGGGCTGCAGCTCTACATCGAGTATTCAACTCGATGTAGGGTTTCAGCCAGGCTGCTTGTTTAAATTGTAAAATTTTATGGATTTTCGTTAACTTTAACCCATTAGCTAGCATTTGTTTTAAATTTTTATAGTGAACCGTGTACTCTTTTTTATCCGTAAGTGTTGTCATTAATTTCGGCAATTTTACCCCGCCGTCGCTGGGTGGTACGCTACGTTCTGCCGCAAACGGAAAATCTTTGTGTTTATCGTGCAGTTCTTGTGGGTACGATAGATCGACTTGTAGCACGTACCCTACGTCAGAGTCGTCGGGTATTGACATCACATCAAACGATGTTACATCATCTACCCATTTGAACCCTCCGTAGGGTAAGGGTTGCTGCATAGCATTCCCATATAAGTTATTCACATCCAGGTACATAAGGTACTTGGACGGCTTTTCAGGATCATATTCGGGCATATATTTATTGTTGGCCTCCGAAAATCGGTTGCTACACACCGAAATTCCACCTCTTATAGCATTTTCGTAAAACATCACCATATCTAGATCCTTTAGTAGTTCTAACTTACACCCAGTGTATTTGAGCATACAGTCCCACGTATATCCGGGCATTGTATAGTACCACGCAGGATCCAGACCATAGGTGGAGAAACATTTTTTACGCAATTGCTCAAAAACGTCGGCAAGAAGCAGAATATCTGTTTTTAAATATATATCAGAATACTCTCCTAATGTTTTAATGTTAAACTGTTGCCAAACAGATTGCGCATGAGCATACTTCTCGTCACTTACACTTTCATCGTTTAATTTATTGTAAAATTTTTCAATTGGGGGCAAAGTCGTTTCATTTAATTTTTCAACGAATCAATGTAATCGTAACAGAAAACTCCTTTCTGTGTTAATAATTTGAATTTATCTTCATCTAAATTTTGAAATTCCCTTTGTAAAATTTTCTTTTCTGATACTGCTAAAATTGAAGCTAATTCATCAAGAGACGCCCCCATAAATCGAAAAGAGTCTATAAACCGCAATTTAATGTTATTTTCATCTGAGTGCAGCGTAAAGGAGATGTATTTATCTTTGTTGATGGGAAGTAGACTTAAGCGACCTTTTTTACATAAATTCGAAATCATAAAGTGACTATCGTACCCACTTAAATTATGGAATATAACCGGCACAACAAACAATTTTCTAAAGTTCAGATTGCATGCTTGGTGTGCGTAACCTCTGAACTCTCCACTGAAATGGTTGTGATCTCTAACGATTATGTCTTTTTTTGTTTTTGAAAATCTCTTACCGCAAATATGACATGATGTTGCCTTACATGTGTCTAATTTTTCAATCATAGGTACGCTTGTTTTTATTTTTGAGTTTACAAATTGCGCAACACCAGCCATACGATTTGCAACCAATCCATACAATCTGCACCTCGAAAGCTCTCGAAATAAGAAAGGCTATCATCATAGCTGCATTTTACATAGAAACCAGCACTATACGGAACGTGTTTTTGATATTTATGGTTTTAGTTAAATTTACGACGCTACTTTCTTTATGAATTTCTAATTGACATTCAAAATCTGCATAAACAACAAAAGGAGTATTTTGTTGGTATGTAAAGTTTTAAATTCAACGCAGCTCTCTTTAGGAAGGTTAATTTATATTTATTAAATTTAGAACACAGTTTTTCATGTTCAACTAATTTATTTTGCTGATGGAAATAGTTCAGACATCTATCGCAAATAAATTTTTTCTCACGATGTTTATTTAACTGGCTACTAATAAGACGCGAAAGATTTTTAATCCAACAATAGTGATATTTAATTTCATCGATTGAATCATTATCTTCATTTGCTGGCGCTGGTGGAGGAGCATCATAATCATTTAAACGCGGATAATATTTATTTTGAGCTAAAGTAAATTAACATGCGTATCCCGTTTATTTTCCGTTAATCTTGCTGGTACTACTATGTAAATGATTTTTTTTCTGTTCGATCAATTCTAAAGCGTAAACATTGACTGAAATGTTATTCATCTTTTCAAATTTTGAAATTTTTGTTAGCAGCATAGGACTATCTAAATTTTCTGTTTGTAAAACGTCAGTAAAGTGTGGATATGAGGAGGTTAGTTCTGCATGTCTTTTATGCTAGGAGTTCCGAAGAGCGCTTACAATGGCCCAGTAAAAGCAATTTTGATCTATATTTTTAATGTTTATACAAGCATTTTCCTTATAATCGTTCTGGTATGTCTAATATAAGATGAACCGTTTCCCAATTGATATTTACTGATATTAACAACTAAGGAAATAATTTTATTTAACGCAAATCCCGAATCTTTTTCAGCAAATTCCGATAATTCGTTTAAAAGTTTATCTTTCACATATATCTTAAACCACTCGTCTATTTGAGTTGATGTATCAATAATATGATTTTTAGTATTAATATATTTAATTCCCAAAATTTCATTATCCCCCGATTTCCTAATAAACTCCCCGCAAAATGTTGTATTTACTTTGAGCGCACA